CACAAGTGAGTGAGGGGTAGAGAGAGAGAATCCCCTAAGGGGCGGAGAGAGAAAGAGAAGCAGGACTCACCAGATGTGGAAGTGGAGCTCATGTTCACCTGTGAGGCTAGAACTCATGAACTGTAAGATCATGACCTGAGCCCATTTCAGATGCTTAACCCACTGAGCCACCCAGGCGCCCTAACTGAAGTACATTCTTGAGTTTTTTTCTGCAGGACTGAAACCATGCCCCATAGGGTTAATGAGGTTGAAACTAGCAGAAAATTTAATTTTTTTTTTTAATCTTCACTTTTGAGAGAGAGACAGAGTGCGAGTGGTGAAGGAATAGAGGAGACACAATCTGAAGCAGTCTCCAGGCTCGAGCTGTCAGCACGGAGCCCAACGCCGGGTTCAAACCCATCAACCATGAGATCATGATCTGAGCTGAAGTCGGACGCTTAACCGACTAAGCCACCCAGGCGCCCCAAAAGTAGCAGAAAATTTAAAGCTTGTTTTCTCAGGGAATTGATTTGGTTCTGTTGTCAAAAACTGCCCTCTGTGCTCCAGAGCCAAAGTATGTAACACGAAGACAGTTTGGAGATAAAGAAGGAAGATAATTTTTTATTTTGCCAGGCACAGGGGCTGCAGCAGGCTAATGCCTCCAGGACTGCAAGCCCACTGGGCGCTAAAGGCTAAAGGGTTTTATAGGAAAACACAGGCCACTTGAGTCTTATTACTAAGTATACATTGAAGCCAGCGAGGTGGCAATATCCATACCCAGTTCCTGGAACAAAAGATTGTACAAAAAAGCAAGTGAAGGGGAGGGCAAAGCTTCAAGAATGAGGAAGGGAAAAGTTTAAAACCAAGCCTTGCTGAAGTCCAAATGTGTCTGTCCATCTTTCCATCTTTATGTTTCTTTTAAGATAAAAAAAAATGTTTATTTATATTTTAGAGAGAGAGAGAGAGAGAGTGCAAGTGGCGAAGGGCAGAGAGAGAGGGGGACAGAAAATCCAAAGCGGGCTCTGTGCTGACAGCAGACAGCCTATTGTGGGGCTCAAACTCAGGAACCGTGAGATCAACCTGAGCTGATGTCTGACGCTTAACGAACCGAGCCACCCAAGTGCCCCCATCTATATGTTTCCGTAGCAGTTTCTGTTCCAGTCAATGAACAAGCAGGACGCTGCATTTCTTAGCTGAAATAACAAGCCCATCCGGTTTATACCAGCTCTCAGAGCAGCGAGTAGCCCCTTAACCCTGGTCAGACCCTGGCCTCTGCTTCATCGTAATGTTAAATCTCTTCCCTAGGAGGAGCACAAGCATCGCGAACACAGCATTCAATGTGTCTAGGCATGTTTTCTAAATACCCCTGTGCAAGCTTATGGCTGCTTTCACATGCAATTGAGTGGGGAAAGAGTTAGTATTAGGCAGGGAGAGATAAGGGACCCACAGGGAGGCAGTGTGCACCTGCAAGCTGGAGGCTGAAGGGGCAGCAGGGGTTTGGGGGAAACAAACAAACAAACAGGATAAAGATATTCCAGACCCACCTGAGCTAGGTGCCATGCGTGGAGCCTCACAAACTTTCTGATAAGGTCCCAATAAAAAGTCGGGGACAAAAATCCTTGCGGCAACCCAGTCGGACCCCGCTCACTCTTGAGAATTTTATACTTTTCTCTCAATAAACTCTGTAGCTTTGCTCACTTTCTGTGGCCCCTGAGATTCATTCTTTGACCCTGTCAAAGCCTGGCGTCTCACCACTGTCCTGTAAAACAATGACAAGTTCCCCTTTTTGAATAGTCATCCTAAACCCTAATTAAAAAGAACCCGCTCACCCTGCTCACAGAGTCTCCGTGATCTCCTTATGTGAGGTAAATAGTTTTTTTGTGTGTGTGTGAGAATGTCATCTGATGTAATCTCTATCTGTAATTCATGTTACTTTGGTGACAATTGGATTTCGCATCATAATATAAATGATTATGTATATTGATCTTGTAATCATGTGACTTTCCCAAATACACTCTTAACTGTTTTTGAATATACATAAAACATAATTATACGACTTTATATGTACAAAATACATATATATTTAGTTCAGACGTACAACATAAGATTCAATATTAATATATATTGCCAAGCAATCACCACGATAAATCTAGTTAACATTTATTTTGCACCTTTTGAATGGAGATTCAATGCAAACTGTCATGTGATCTGAGACTAGCACAATTTCATTTTTTCCTTTCCAATCTGTATAACTTGATTACGTTAAATTTAAAACTTCCAGCATAATGTTGGATCTGCTATAACTTGTCAAAAGATAGCCAATGGAATAATCACAAAAACACAAGTAACAAATTTATAATGTCAGTAGGATGTTTTCAACCATCTGACTATTGTAACACTTTTGTATCTATGTCTTTTTATTTTTTCTCCTTTTTTTAAAAAATAATGTTTATTATTTATTTTTGAGACAGAGAGAGAGCACAAGCAGGGAAGGGACAGAGACTGGGCTGGACTTGGCTGAAATTTTGACAGTTTGCTTGTCCCAGATTGCAATTCTCTTTGTTTCCTGAATAAACCCACCTTTTGCTACTAAAATAACTGGCAATGTCTATTTTTAAGATTCACACCATGGTTTGGACATCTGAAGATCGGAGCTGCCTCTCCTGTCTTTGGACAGCCTACACTTTGATTCCCTGGATTGTATTGACTTTGATTTCTTGGACTGTATTGACTTTGATTCCTTGGATTGTGTTGATCTGGAACTAAGTGCACTGCAAGATACAGGCTAGTGAAAACATCTCTAGATTCTTTCATTCTCTAACAAATGCAGTGCCGATGTTCAAATATTCTTTATTCTACTTTCAACCCTCCTCGTATAATCACCAGTTTTACGAATCATCAATTTTATGAATGATCCTGGCTCTCAGACCCATCTTTCATTTTTACCATGTTGATGAAGTTAACTCAATGGGGCAGATTGGTTCCTGTATGAATCCATGGTGTCTGCCCTTTAAAGGGTCCTCACCCCTGAATGATGCTTCTACTTCCTGTCCTTGGTTATGTTACTCTTCTGCCTTGTATATTCTTTCTGCTTCTCATCTCTCTCACTGACTCTGCCTTCCTTCCCTTTGCTCCCATTAGATGACTTAAATAAACTCAGTGTCTATAGACACGGACGTCTTCTGATGAGAGTCCTCTCATCTTTATTATACAAAGAATACAAAACTCATAGACTCATATTTTCCTTCTTCTATGGTATTAAAGGTGATGGCTGATTTCATTATCACTGCTAAAGATCTCAGTACTCAGTACCAAGATGGACATAGATGTTAGGCAGAGATTTTGGCCTCAAAGGAGAAAGTAGGATCTCAAAGCACCAAATTAAGGCTGTGCTCCTGAGGAACAAACTATTTTAATTAGTTCTTCAGAATTATTTCTGAAATACTCTAGAGAATGTACCTGAGATATACATTATAAATGTTTCCACCTTGTTTTTACAAAATACAGAAAGTCAGCTTTTACGGGTAGGTCATTTTCTACATTTCTTCAGTAAAAATATGTTTGTTCTTGTGTGTGGAGATGAGTGCCAGTGTGGACCAAAAAAATTAATTTCCTCAATTTTACTTGATATTTCTATTCATATGCTAATATTTTGTAGTATGTCTAAAAATTCAATTATTATTTTTTTTTTTGTTTTAAATTTTTTTAATGTTTATTTATTTTTGAGAGAGACAGAGACAGAATGCGAGTGAGTTGGGGCGGAGAGAGAGGGAGGCACAGAATCTGAAGCAGGCTCCAGGCTCTGAGCTGTCAGCACAGAGCCTGATGTGGGGCTCAAACTCACGAGCTGTGAGATCATGACCTGAGCCGAAGTTGGATGTTCAACCGACTGAGCCACCCAGGCACCCCTAAAAAATCAATTATTTTATTGAATAGATAAAAATAGTTTTAGGGAACAGCTCTTGAGGCACATTGTTTTCCAGTCATACCTTATTTTTGTAAACCATTGAGATATAATGGCCACAGCTGGAAGCGAAGGCCACATTTAAACATCATTTGTGCTTTCCAAAACAAATATGTTCATATATGTGTCGCTCAAAAAATGGAAACAAACAAACAAGCAGAGAAATCCCACATTCTCCTCCATATACTTGGGGTTTTTATTTACTGTTTAAATTCTACTTTCTCGGAAGAGACTTCTCTGAGTGTTTATCTAAAAGCATCCCATCTTCATATTTCTTTATACTCCTGGCTTCTAACTGGAATCACATTCTATAGGCTTGTCTATATGTTTAATATCTGTTCCTTCCCCTACAACATGGGCCTCATGAGGATGGGGAATTTGTTCAATGTTGTAAACCCAGAATTTAGAGCAGAAAAAAAATATATTTTCAGTCATGTGCATGTATATGTAATTGAGTGAGCAACTTTATTAAGCAGAGGGAATGATTCTTCATTCAGGACATGACTTGCCATATACCAAGAGATAAACCTACTAATTCAATGCTTTCTGAATAAAATGAAGACAGACCACAATGGGTTTCAGGTGAAAATGGTGTACTAAATATTTCTTCTATTTTGTATCTAAAATATAGGTTATCAGATCGGGGGAGACCCTAGAAACCAACTTCCTTTATATTTTCCATTTGAATGATATAAATGGCTGTTTTTAATATCTGTTTTTAATTCTTGTATTTTTCTTTTTATAAAATTTGAAAAAAAAATACCCAATATGGAATTGTCTCTTGCGAGAAGGCAAGTATAAATGTAATTTCACACATACAAGTGAGAGCAAGAGCAAAAGTGAGAGAGAGAGAAAAAGTGAAAGAGATCACACGAGAGATACAGGACAAATATATTTCTGTAGATGTTCTGATGTGTTTGTTAAAAGAGAAGAGAAATTTCCCAGTAGATGAATATATCAATGAGTAAATGATAAAATGGGTGGAATAAATGCAGAATCTGGATCAGATGGAACTCTTCACTTTCTCTAAGACTATCAGTTTTCAAGGGAGAAGAAAATGTCTTCCCCAAACCACACTACAGTGACAGAATTCATTCTCTTGGGACTCACAGACGACCCTGTGCTGGAGAAGATCCTGTTTGGGGTGTTTCTGGTGATCTACCTGATCACGCTGGCAGGCAATCTCTGCATGATTATGCTGATCAGGACCAATTCTCACCTCCAAACACCCATGTACTTCTTCCTTAGCCACCTCTCCTTCGTAGACATTGGCTATTCCTCCAACATCACTCCAAATATGCTGCACAACTTCCTCTCCGACCAGAAGACCATCTCCTATGCTGGATGCTTCACACAGTGTCTTCTCTTCATTGCCCTGGTGATCACTGAGTTTTATATCCTTGCTTCGATGGCATTGG